CTTACCTCCCTTTTCTTTCAGGGCTAGATAAGAGAAGTACCTCATGGCATACAATTACTCACACCATGTCTTAACCCAATACTTAAGCAGAACAAGACTTTCACCTGAGATGATGCTGAACATATGATCTCTCAAAATAAGCATAGGTGAAAAATTAGGTACCTGGCAGCCAAAACACTTCAGTTAACCTGCAACTTAATCTTGCTGAATTAAGTAAACCTAAAGACTTATATAGTCTCAGTTCCAAACTATTCACTGGTAGGTCTTAAGTGATTACCTGCAGATGGGTTGCAGCAGAGAGGGAGCTTAAGGAAAGGTATTAGCTAGAAGCAGCAGCAGCAGGACAGGAGGCCAGCAGAGGTGCCGCAGCAGGACAGCTCAGGGACCTTGGTTAAGGCCTGACCTTGGCACAATGCGTGATGCAGCAGGGAGACGCATGCTGCTATCTTATCACCCAAATGCACATCAAATATTCTGCAAAGGCCAAGAAAGAAACGGGTGGGAAGATAGACAAGGATAGAGAAGAAGGAAAAGAAATGCGGAGGTCAGAGTGAGCACTCACACGGTTACAGTCATCTGCAGGGACAGGGAAGTCAGTCCGAACACCAGAGTGCTCCCCAGCAAACTAGGAACTGTTGCTCCAGCAGGGAGAGGAAAAGAACCACAGGCAGATGGGGTCCCAGCTCCGTTACACGCACGCAGCAGCTGCGGGGAGAACTGGGGAGGTAGCCTCAGAGCCCACCGTGGGTAGCAGCAGTGTCACAGCTCAGGTGCTCCTGGGATGGCTTTTGTGGATACTGATGTTTCAGTGCCTGCAGTGTGGCCTCAGAGGGAAGGAGCAGTGACTAGGCTGCTAAGGCAGAGTGATGGAGAAATCTCCAAAGAGGCTGCTCTGCGCAAGATGCACTGCTCTCCTTGCTCTGTTCTCAGATTTCTTCCATCACAGGAGATCCAATTTTAAAGGCACAGCTGCCTTCAAATGTTTGCCAATTGGGCTGCTGCTTTAGGACAAGATGCACAACCCAGAGAGAAAAATACAAGTTCTGTATTGAAACAAGAAAAATCTGACAATAACCACCACATGCATGAAAGCCCTTATGGCCAGGACTAATGCCCCAGTGTTTCATTGCAGCTGCACAGCCCAATGCCAGACACAAGCTAGGGTCTGCCTGCTCTGCACCTCTTCTGCCAGGACAGCACTCCCAGGGCAAAGGAAGCCTGGGCAGCCCAGCCTGAGCTGCCAAGCCACCCCAGAGCCCCCAGCCTGCCTGCTGCTTCCAGGCACACTCCTCCTTTTCCCAAGCAGCCAGCACTGGCTGCCACTTCTCCCTAGGACACACAGTTATGTTCCCACTGCACTGTTCTAAGCAGAACTGGGGTATAAGGATGGAAAAGAGCATACAGAGAGGCGTGGAAGGGGCAAGTTACAGGGCCTTCCTGTGCTGCTGCTTCCTCACTT